TATTGTTTACATTTATAATTTAATCAGATTGAGAAAGAATGCGCCTCGATTACATCCGACGAAACAGTTGGACTTTTGTTAAAATACGACATTGGCAAGTACGTTAGTAAACCTTATGTATTAATATTTCTTCGTACGAGTTGTTTTATCGCGTTCAAATACTCACTCGATTACGCGATATTTGCGCAAATAAAATTGGACCCGAGTTTAAGCAGATATCTAACGTATTTAATTAGAATTTTCAGCGTTACAAAGGTTCGAAAAACCCCGCATTTCCACAATTTAATATTTTATTATTTTTTCGACAATTTATTACGATTAATAATAGTCTTAATTACATTTCCTAAAAAACGCGGATTTGATCCCCCCCCGTCCATCCGCTTGTCCCCCCCGTCCGTCCGCCATCCGTCCGTCCGTCCGTCCGCCATCCGTCCGTCCGTCCGTCCGCCATCCGTCCGTCCGTCCGCCATCCGTCCGTCCGTCCGCCATCCGTCCGTCCGTCCGTCCGTATCCGCGTTTTATCCTTACCCCTGCGGCGACTGCGCGAATTCATGAAAGTTGGCATGATGTCGAGCCAGACGGCTCTCGAGTGGAAGATAATATACAGCACTCTTGACGTAAATGATTTTTTCGGAGAATGGCCTAGTAATACTGTCTGACAATGATTAATGTTATTACAGAAACGAACTTGATATGTTTGTTTAAATTTGGATTCAAAAATCACTGTGAAAACATCATAACGGATGCTTTCCAATTACGCCCAACCGGGGAGGGGGCGGGGATTAGCGGGGAAAGTGGTCAGTTTTGATGGTAAATATGTCCCCGATGATGGGGGGCTTGGACAACATTTTCTCTTTCGGTAGACGATGCGGGGACGAAAGCGGGGGAATGGATTCAGTGGTTAACATATGTATCCTGTGTTGCTGTTTTAGTTTTCTTCACAAGAAAAGTTTAAATACAATAACATAATGAATTTGATTTTCTATTGCTGATCTATGAAATATACAAAACTATTTTCCCGAGGTTGAGAGACATGCGGGGACATTGATTAATTACCCTTTCCCCGGGAGCGGGGGGCAATTTCGCTCTTTTACTACCCCTCTAAGTCAAATTGACTGGTGCATTATTCGCACGGAAAAGTTTAAATTTATTTTGAAAAACTCCTGAGGAAAAGGACGTCACTACCGCGTCGGTGGTTTTATATTATATGTGATAAAAAATCATGTTCATTTACATACACTTTATCATTGATTTTCTTGACAACGTTGATTTTTAAAATTACTTCACCAATGAACTCATACGATGGGTTGTTTTTAAGCGATTTAAAATACTCGTAGGCCGTGCTTTATCAGATATACGAGACACTCCGGCAATCTGAAGTCCCGTCCGTGTTGACAAACTGACAAAAATACAGTTTTCAATCCAGTCCCCTGGCCCTCGGAAATCTGACGTCCGTTAGGACAAAAACGTCACTTGCTTTAGCTCACTATTAATTACCTCAACAAATAAATAAAATACACATTAAATTAAGTCGTACACTCAACTAAATGCTTTCCTTTTATTTATTTATTTATTTATTAGCTACCTCTATCAGTACGATAACTTAAAAAAATATCAAACGTAAATGCTCACCGCGCGCTCAATTTTCAAGTCCCCCTCAAATTTTGCATAATGATAAAGCTGAAAGCATTTAAGCATCGCTGTAGCTAACAATTTGTCAAAAATTCTACATCTTTGAAAACTGTTCTTGCTACGGGTTGCTTTGAAAATATGACGGCCTTTGCGCCACGAGATCGCTCGCGCTCGCTGCTTGCGTTTCGTTCAAGGTCGACTTGTGGCAAGTCTAAGAACGCTT